ACTGGTAGTTTATACGTATAGGTAACCTGTCGCAGACTTGCGGTTTTAATGAAAATGGCCGAGCATCGCAACTTCCTGGCCCAAAGCCCATAAAGCATCGAGTGACGTTGTACGTACACATCAGAAAAAAGGATTACGCGCAACCGTGAGATCGAGTTGTTTTAATTTCCTATCTTCCCGTAATTTTGTTCGTGGCTTCTAGGTCTGGTAGCTACGTATGACCTTGCGCCGCCTCCTGTGGCAGCGTCGCCTATAGCACTCTCGCACTCTCGCCTGTCGCTCCTTCCGCCGTTGTGGCACAAGCACAACCGGGGTAGAAGGCACTCTTCGGGGCAATTGAATCCGCGCGAGAGAGAGAGACTGCACTGATTGTTTGCTTCACCGGCGTCATGCATGAACAGATTAATTTCAAGGAATCGAGGTATATCACTGCTATATACTCCAGTAATATGTCTTTTTTGCGGGAATCCAGTAATCTATTTGAACCAGTACAATACCTTACAAGGAATGGTTTAATTTATTCATTAGGTAAATCTGTAAGTCAGAAATCTAATTCCACTCGTTGTTTAGTGTCGCAAGAGTTGAACAATAAAAAGTCAATTTTCAAGCTCATTGCTTCTAGCTCAAATATTAATGAAAATGCAAACCCACTCACGGACCAACCAGTGGTAGATGATAACTCTTACCGATGTTATTATCTATCAAACATATGTTGCCATATGCCCATACCAATTTTTTTTGTATTGTGTCTCGCCCCCCTCATGGCTAAATCCTGGCTCCGCCCCTGGTGTGCGCGCGCGCCCTTGTTTGTTTGTTTTTCTGGTTTTTGCTTAACGTACACGGGAGGAAAGAAAAAACGGTCAATGGGGATGTACGACGACAAAAAAACCGGCTTGTAGGCGGGAGTAAACCTTGGAGGCGAGGAAGCGAACGGCCAATTCTCATTTAATAGTAGAGATCCATGGTCGAATACCCTCGATTTATAATAGTGAGAGGTGCATTGCGCGTGCAAGATCACTAAATTAATAAGAGAAACAAAGATGTTATAGATATTTCAACATGGCCCCAAACTATTGTAGATATCTATATTCTTTGATCCAAGGGTCATACGATCTCTTAACTTATATAAGAGGTAAGATTAGTAAATAGGCAATTTTATTTCTATTTGTTAAGGCATCGACTAATAATATGGAAATATATTGCTAAGCACTCTCGCAATATTGAGTATTATGTTAAAATAAAATAAGAACTTTCAGAATTAGGCACATGCTTTTAATTTATATACGTCAATATGTTTGCAATGTTGATAAGTCACTAAGTTGACATGTGGATGTAATTCTACATACAACTTTAAACCATTGCATTTGTTTTCAATCAAACTTCCGTTTCTTCAAAACAAAAACAGAGAATCCATCGACAACGGTTTGTTCCACATACAAAATTAACTCGGGCTTGTTTTTTTGAATCTTTTAAGGCACACACAATTTGGCTAGATCCTTTTTAAAATATGTATAAGACTCTTAGAATTCATATATTTCATCTACAAAAAAGTGGAGAATTAATGTGATCTCCTTAATTTCCTGAATAAAGTGTATGTTTTTTTTAGGAAAAACAGTAATGTGCATTAGTATTCCCCTTTTATGCCACGATGCATTAATTGGAGGATCCGATATACTAATAAATATCAGCAATTTTGGAGGAAGATAAATATCAACAAAAAGATAGCAGCACTCCCTCCGTTTTTAAATATATGTCTTTGTAGATATTTTACTATGGACACATACAGATGTATGTAGATGCATTTTAGAGGGTAGATTCACTCATTTTGCACAATACTAATAAATATTAGCAATTTTTTAGGAAGTTAAATATCAGCAATCAAAAGTAAGGATCCGGAGTACCTAGGTCGCACCACAGTCAGAACAACAATGGCTCAACTTCTGGTTGTACATTTTGTTGTTTATTCGAAAGATAAAAGTACAAGGATGCACACATAGCGGATACAAATATGGAATCCAAATAGAGGCCTATCGAAAACAACACATACACTAAATGCGACTGAAGAGAAACAATAACGCTAAGGCCTAGAGTTGATCTCATATGGACAGAACCAGGCCGACTTTGTTGCCAAATTTACGCAGAACATTATTAGGAATTCAACATCGCTAAGTCTTGATCAAACTTCCTTCCATAAGTTCACCATTCTTACTGGCCGAACAGCATGTTGGCGTGCTGGTAGAGGTCCTTGTAGTAGATCTCCCTGATGGTCCCCTCGCTGACGCCGGTGGCCATGGACACGTCGCGGATGGATCTCCCGACGCCGGCGCGCTCGATGGCCATGTACATGACGGCGGCGGCGATGGAGTCGGGGTTGTGCCTCACGTCCAGGTTCTTCTCCAGCCTCGTCGCTGCCTCCAGCGCGGCGCCCACCTCCTTGTCCTCCATCCCGAGCAGCGAGCCGAAGCGGCGCATGTAGTCGCCCGGCCGCGCGATGGCGCCGATCATCATCATCTGCCCTCCCGCCTGCCCGCCTTCGTCATCTCTGAGGTAGTCCTTCATGACCTTGACGAGCCTCCCGATGTCCTTGACCCCCGCCGTGGCGCTGTCGCCCGTCACGGACGCCAGCTCCTTGAACGTCCGCGGCGTGCCCTCGGCGCGGCACGCCATGTGGAGGCAGGCCGCGTAGAGCGCCTGCCGGTTCCGGCACTTGCCGCCCTTGGGGAACGCCTTCGTGTTCTCCAGCTTCCTGATCACGTCCCTGGCGCGGTTCTTGACGGCCGCCGTCAGCTGCAGCCGCGCCGCCATGTCGTCGATGCCGTGGAAAGACTCGGCGAGCGCCCTGTCGGGCACCGGCCCCACCGCGCCGCGCATCCTCGGCGCGCCGCCGCCGCCGCCGCCCCGCGAAGGGCCGGCGCCGACCGCGCCGCGCATCCTCGGCAGTGGTGCCGAGGAGGCGCCCTCCCCCGCGTGCGTCCCGGCGTGGCCGGCCGCCTTGGAACGCTCGTCGCCTGCGGCGGGGTAGGCGACGGTGACGGTGGCCTGGGCGGGGGAAGGGTCGGCGGCACCGCCGACGCTGCGGCCGTCGATGGCCCCGACCTGGTTGAGGAAGGTGCGCCACTCGGAGGACTTGTCGACGTAGCGCTGGCCGAGGACGCGCGCGCACAGGGCGCAGACGGTGTCGCCGGAGGCGCGGTTGATGGCCACCGCGACGGCGCGGCGGCAGTCCGGGCAGTAGCGCATGGCGTTCGCGACGTCGCCCATTGCTCCCGCTGCCGCTCTCTCTCGCTAGGACTGAATTTGGTTTCGGGTTTGCGCTTCTGCGCTCCCTTGGGTGTGGCTTCTGGGTCGGTTGGTTGGGGTCTGGGCATCGCGCGATGGCCCCTTTTATAGACCCGTGGCCGTAGGCGATAAGGTCGGTGGGGGCCCGACTCCAACTCGCGCATCCATCATCTCCTCGTCTCGTTCCGGATCCAACACGAGCGTTTCTTTCCGATTCCGACCGGGAAACAAGTGCCGAGAGACCTACTCCCCCTTCCATAGGGTTTGGGCTTCGGTGCACCTACAATCTCAGCCTTGGGGTGCCGTCGAAATTTGGGGCCTCTTTGATTCATAGGATTTTAAAAGCGCAGGAATAGGAAAAATATAGGGTTGGAGTGGCATGCCCATTTGAATCCTATAGAATTAGCAATGATTGTTTGATGCCACGAAAAAAACAAAGGAATTGTAAAAAAAGGTTGGAGTGGATGTTAAATTTCCTATGAAATGTAGTACAAAAGATTCCATAGGAAAAATTCCTATGGAATCCAATCCTATGAATCAAAGGACCAACATAGGAAAAAATTCTAAGGATTTCAATCCTTCAGAAATCCTATAAAATTCCTTTGAATCAAAGAAGCCCTTGACTTTTTTTTTACGGTGTGGATAGTATAATTTGGTCAAACCAATGTCATAGCCTTGACAAATAGTCTTAAAATCGCATTAATTTGTATGGTATTTGGTGTAGTAAAAATTCTTTTGCAACGAGGAAGAAAGGCCGTCCATCCGATGTGATGGTCCCCAAGATCCGCCCTGCTTCGGTGGTGATGGTGGCGATGGCAACGAGGAAGAAAGCTTGTCCATCCGATGTGATGGTCCCCTTCACAGTTGCCAGTGACTGATCTAGGAGACGGAGTTTGCGTCATCCCACACTTCTGACTTTGGTCGCTGCTGGACTGTGCCAAAACCGACGTACTACGTCATGGTCAATGGTTCATCCTATCCTTGGATTTAGATAGGCGTGTAGAGTCTCCGGGCTGCGCCGACGGTGGAGATATGGATTTTGTCCTACCTTTCCCGCTCCTTCCTGGCTCTAGCGCGATCAGGGTTTGCATGTGAAAGGGGAGGGTGATGAGGTCGTCTCCTACTCGGACCCAGGGAAAGCCCATGGGGGCCCAGGCCCACATTCACCAAGTAACGGAATGTTGACCAACGTAACTGATTCTTCACTCGGACAAAAGAAGCTCGTCGGCCGAAAGCATTGATTAAGACATTTCCCTAATCATAAGAGCCTGCCGTTACTAGTGTATCAAGGCGCTCGTTGCAGTAGATAGTGGACATGCATAATTGCTAGATTAATTGACCTGTAACATAGAAGGCAAGGGGTAGCGAAATCTATATAAGCATCTACTTGGCGATTGCCTACGGTTCGGAACTTTTGCACACACACATCCATAAGCAAGAGACACCATCTCCTCAGAACATGGCCTAGGATTTTTACCTCCATCGCAAGGGGTCTGAATCTGCACATCTTCTTGTATCACCCTCCCGTGTCTCGCGTGATCAAGCCTCATTCCCCCTCTCTTACTGTTAGAATCCCCCTCTCCCCCACGACAGAGGGGGAGGTCATTTCTAAAGGAGAAGGTATCTATGATGGAAAGATTCACCCTCTGATTTTACCAAGAATCATGCATGCGGAGGCCCACCTAAGATTTCTGATGTATTTTATATATCCCACCACATAGAATTTCACTATTTCACAATTTGATTTAAATAATTTAAATAAATTTCACAACTGACAACAACTATTTTAGAAGGATTTAAATTATTTCATAGCGACTTCCCTAATCATAAGAGCATGGTCGTTACTAGTGTATCAAGGCGCCCATTGTAGTAGATAGTGGGCATACATAATTGCTAGATTAATTGACCTGTAACATAGAAGGCAAGGGGTTAGTGAAATCTATATAAGCATCTCCTTGGCGACTGCTTATGGGTTCGGAACTTCTGCACACACACATCAATGGGGGCCAGGTCCACATTCACAAAGTAACGGAATGCTGACCAACTTGGTGGTTTACTCACTCGGGGGACACCCAAATGGAGATCCATTCGGAAGGAAGAACACCCATTCGGCTGATTCTTCACTCGGAAAAAGGAAGCTCGACGGCCAGAAGCATTGATTAGGATGTTTCTCTAATCATACAAGCCTACCGTTACTAGTGTATAAAGGCGCCCGTTGCAGTAGATAGTGGGCATACATAATTGCTAGATTAATTGACCTGTAATGTAGAAGGAAAGGGGATATTGAAATTTATATAGGGACCTCCTTCACATTTGCTTACGGGTTCAGAACTTCTGCACACACACATCCATATGCAAAAAACACTCTCTCTAAAGAAGATGACATACGGTTTTTATCTCCATCGCAAGGGGCCTGAATCTGCATATCTTCTTGTGTCACCACCCTGCGTCTCGTGTGATCAAGCTGAAGGAAATATGCCCTAGAGGCAATAATAAAGTTATTATTTATTTCCTTACATCATGATAAATGTTTATCATTCATGCTAGAATTGTATTAACCGGAAACTTAGTACATGTGTGAATACATAGACAAACAAAGTGTCACTAGTATGCCTCTACTTGACTAGCTCGTTGAATCAAAGATGGTTAAGTTTTCTAGCCATAGACCTGAGTTGTCATTTGATTAACAGGATCACATCATTAGAGAATGATGTGATTGACTTGACCCATTCCATTAGCTTAGCACGATGATCGTTTAGTTTGTTGCTATTGCTTTCTCCATAACTTATACATGTTCCTATGACTATGAGATCATGCAACTCCCGAATACCGGAGGAACACTTTGTGTGCTACCAAACGTCACAACGTAATTGGGTGATTATAAAGATGCTCTACAGGTGTCTCCGATGGTGTTTGTTGAGTTGGCATAGATTGAGATTAGGATTTGCCACTCCGATTGTCGGAGAAGTATCTCCGGGCCCTCTCGGTAATGCACATCAATATAAGCCTTGCAAACAATGTGACTAATGAGTTAGTTGCGGGATGATGCATTACGGTACGAGTAAAGAGACTTGCCGGTAATGAGATTGAACTAGGTATTGAGATACCAACGATCGAATCTCGGGCAAGTAACATACCGATGACAAAGGGAACAACGTATGTCGTTATGCGGTTTGACCGATAAAGATCTTCGTAGAATATGTAGGAACCAATATGAGCATCTAGGTTCCGCTATTGGTTATTGACCGGAGACGTGTCTCGGTCATGTCTACATAGTTCTCGAACCCGTAGGGTCCGCACGCTTAACGTTCGGTGACGATCGTATTATGAGTTTATGTGTTTTGATGTACCGAAGGTAGTTCGGAGTCCCGGATATGATCATGGACATGACGAGGAGTCTCGAAATGGTTGAGACACAAAGATCGATATATTGGACGACTATATTTGGACATTAGAATGGTTCCGGGTAAGATCGGGCATTTACCGATGAACCGAGAGGTTACCGGAACCCCCCGGGAGGTATATGGGCCTTATTGGGTCATAGTGGGAGAGAGAGGAGAAGGGAGCAAAGGAGGGGCGCCCCTCCCCAAGCCCAATCCGAATTGGGAGGGGGGTCGCCCCCTCCCCTTCCTTCCTCCTTCCTCCCCCTTCCTTCTCTCCTAATCCAACTAGGGAAAGGGGGGAATCCTACTCCCGGTGGGAGTAGGACTCCCCTTGGGGCGCGCCTAGGAGGCCGACCCCCTCCCCCTCCTCCACTCCTTTATATACGGGGGAGGGGGGCACCCCATAGACACACAAGTTGATCATTGATCTCTTAGTCGTGTGCGGTGCCCCCTCCACCATAATACACCTCGGTCATATCGTAGTAGTGTTTAGGCGAAGCCCTGTTCCGGTAGCATCATCATCACCGTCATCTGGCCATTGTGCTGACGAAGCTCTCCCTCGACATTCTACTGGATCGTGAGTTCGTGGAACGTCACCAAGCCGAACGTGTGCAAATCACGAAGGTGTCGTACCTTCGGTGCTAGGATCAGTCGATCGTGAAGGCGTACGACTACATCAACCGCGTTGTCATAACGCTTCCGCTTACGGTCTACAAGGCTACATAGACAACACTCTTCCCTCTCGTTGCTATGCATCACCATGATCTTGCGTGTGCGCATGATTTTTTTTTGAAATTACTACTTTCCCCAACAGTGGCATCCGAGCGAGGTTTATGCGTAGATGTTATATGCACGAGTAGAACACAAAGGAGTTGTGGGCGTGGGTATATACATATTGCTTGCCGTCACTAGTTGATTCTTGATTTGGCAGTATTGTTGGATGAAGCGGCCCAGACCGACATTACGCGTACGCTTACGCAAGACTGGTTCTACCGACGTGCTTCACACATAGGTGGCTGGTGGGTGTCAGTTTCTCCAACTTTAGTTGAATCGGATTCAATGAGCATGGTTCTTTCCGAAGATCAAAAAGCAATCACTATACCGCATTGTGGTTTTTGATGCGTAGGTAAGAACGGTTCTTGCTCAGCCCGTAGCAGCCACGTAAAACTTGCAACCACAAAGTAGAGGACGTCTAACTTGTTTTTGCAGGGCATGTTGTGATGTGATATGGTCAAGACATGATGCTAAATTTTATTGTATGAGATGATCATGTTTTGTAACACAGTTATCGGCAACTAGCAGGAGCCATATGGTTGTCGCTTTATTGTATGAAATGCAATCATCATGTAATTGCTTTACTTTATCACTAAGCGGTAGCGATAGTCGTAGAAGCAATAGTCGGCGAGACGACAACAGTGCTTCGATGGAGATCAAGGTATCAAGCCGGTGACGATGGTGATCATGACGGTGCTTTGGAGATGGAGATCAAAGGCACAAGATGATGATGGCCATATCATATCACTTATATTGATTGCATGTGATGTTTATCCTTTATGCATCTTATTTTGCTTACTTCGACGGTAGCATTATAAGATGATC